AGGTTTGGAAGAGATTAAATTGCTGGAACAATAGGTTCTGTCTGACCGGGGAAGGAAATTTGATCAAATCGGTGGTTCAAGCTATCCCCTCTTATTGCATGAGTGTGCTCTGATTCCCACTTCGATTTGTGTGGAGCTCTAGAAAATTATGAATTCATTTTGGTGGGGTTGGAGAAGGATGGGAAACAAAATATTCGGTGGTTAGCTTGAGAAAAAATTTGTGATAGCAAAAGGGATGGGGGAATGGGGTTTAGGGACCTTCATTGCTTCAATTTGGCATTGTTTGGCAAACAATGCTGGAGGTTAATATCCTAACAATAGTCTCTTCTCTATAAAGTACTCAAAGCTAAATATTTTTTCATAGGGGATCTGTTGCCGGCACAGTTAACTGCCAACCATAGTTTCACATGAAAGAGCATAATGCAGTCAAGGGATACCATAAAACTAGGATTCCGATGGAGAGTGGGGAATGGGAATGACATTTATGTTGGTCTGGACCCCTTGATACCAAAGAAGGAAGGTAACTTTATGGCGGAAAATATGAGGTCCGAGGCTGATAAATATCGGATGGTGAGAAGTCTGATGGAGGAAGATGGAAGACACTGGGATTTGACAAAGCTCACGGATTGTTTTTCTCAAAGGGATGTGAGAGCAATTATGTCAATACCTTTAAGTCGAAGAGGGATTGGAGACAAGTTGATCTGGGATGGGGAGAATATAGAGTGTTCACAGCAAAGTCTGGGTACTACATGTGCCGAAAATACAAGGGGTTGATGCAGGGAAGAGTGGAAGTGGACTTTTGGCCAAAGATTTGGAAATTACGGATCCCACCGAAAATTAGGGACTTTATGTTGAGAGTTTTAAGAGATATTCTGCCCACTAAACACAGACTACAAATGAGGGGATTGGAAGTGAACTTGGCCTGCAATCACTGTGAGGGGGAGGAGGATTTAGATCATGTGCTAATGAAGTATAACCTGGGATGAGATGTGTGGAGGATATGGGATGACAAATATGTAATACTCGACTTACTTTTATATGATTTCTTTCTCCGGTACTGAATGGAGGACCTGCTGCAAAGGCAGAGGAATTCTACATGCTGTCATGGAAGATCTGGAGTTGCTGAAATGGATCACTATGGAATGGTATGGTATACGGCCACTATAGGTCAAATTCCAAGCACTGGAGTTCCTGAAAGGATGGCAGAAAGCAAATGGTCCACCAATTGATGCGGGGTCCGAAAACTCTGGCTATGTTAACCCCCAAGTGTCACATGAGAGAACATGGATGCCGTTTGGATGTGTTTTGTGGATGGGGCATCCTTTAAGAATTTATGTCATTACGGCTTTAGAGTGATTTTCCAAGATGAAGAAGGGAGATTTTCCTGGGCAATATCGGGACATCATGATGGGTTGTGTCCTCCCGAGGTTCATTGAGGCAGTTGCAGTGAGGGAGGCGTTGTATTAAGCAACTGAGCACTCTCAGGATAAAGGAGTTATCTTCACTGACGCCTAGGAAATAGCCACTACTCTGCATAAGGGGACATGATGGACTTCTCGGAGATGGGGGTTGTCCTTGAGGAATATAAAGGACTTATTCGAGCTAGACCGAATATCAAAATAAGATGGGTTTATAGGCAAGCCAATATGGAAGCTCACTCTCTTGCTAGAGTTTCACATTATCATGCTAGCCTATATGTTTGGGATCACTTCCCAACTTTTTTGTACGAGCAATCATATTAATAAATTTTTTTGGTTTTACTTTAAAAAAAAATAATCATGTTCTAAAATATCTTGTACATTTTTAACAAGTATTGGAATAAACTAATAATTATGTATTTCAACAAATAAACATAAATTTCGTAAAATTAACCATCATCGTATGAAGTAACAGTTGTTGCTTTGAAGCTTTTTAAAAAAATGCTTAAGAAACTAAAAGCAAGCCAGTCAAAACTAGAAAAATTAGAACTATCAAAATGCTGCTTACAAGTTGCAATCTTCAGTATAAGACCAATGGTTTGCAGAGAATGAGATGAAACAATTTTCCATCCATGACGAGGATTTCTCGATGCCAGAAAGTTCTGAATATTGTTTTCCAAACAAATGCTTTAGAAGCCAACTTGCTGAAACGTTGTTCAGAACAATAGGAAGAGAAAGTTGGATTATTAATTCAGCTTATCGATAGGAATGACCAAGTAACAATGATCAAAAACAGCCCCTAAAATAGGGAAAATAAACCAAATTCTAGGCTCTACATATTTTTTGCAAAGAAAAGATTCTTCAAGAAAATTTTTCAAAATGGGATTATCTCAATGATTCTTATCAAAATTTATCTATATATACACTGAACATTTTCAAATTTCCACTTAGGAGTAGGAGAGGCGAGGGCCAAGAAGTTGACGATGATAGCACACACGGGTTTGCCTCAGAAGCCAATATTCAGCAACTGAATAAATACTCTGTCCAACTCTTATTGAGAAGCTAAAGTCCACAAATTAAGTAAAAAGGAAGGTGAGATGGCAAACCAACTAATAAAAGCCATTACTGTAGCAGCTTCGAATCTTTTGCAGTGGTTCACATCACATCTTTGGAGATCATTGCCTATAAGGACCGTGATCCCAGTAGACGCACATGCAGCAGCAAATGTAAGTGTGGATGTGATCTGCAAAAAAAGACTCATTGAATTCAGCTGCTGGTAAGGGTTCAAAGAAAATACAGTAGTATTAAGGTGATGATTTTGATATGCCAATCTGCCAAAAAACGAAGAATGCTAGCTAGACTAACGTAAATATGAGACCATAACAATGTCATGGATTATCCACAGGTCTAGAATGCAGAGTCAAAGAACTCAGGGACAGCATTTACACAAATGTCGAAAGTTAATTTACAACTGAATAAATTGGAGGGATTATTGCCTACATGATGTTTTCCTTTTAAAAGAAGAAAACATGGATATCTTTATGCTTACAGGCAAAATACTGGCTGAAAAAAATAATATTTATGTTTCATATAGGTTAATGAAATCTCATTATTATTTTTTCTTAGATTTTTCTCAATGGAGGCTTTCCTGTGACACTTAGAAAAATATAAAATTCAATAATTCTATCTCAAAGTTTCATTCCATCAGGCAGTGACAGACTGACTAGAAACTTGGAACAGCAAAAAATATCATACAACTTTAACCCTTAAGAGGACACTATCTACCCAAGTGCTCAGTATAAAAATAATGTTAGATAACAATATCATCGAAGAACTCATTAACTGATTAATATTCTCTTTATCCTCCCGAAATTGCAGCAGCATGGAGTGAAATGCAGCACAGTGGAAGATAGCTAGTAGCTTGGACATGCTTAACAATCACACGGCAAAGCTTTCTATAGTTCATCATTATGAGAATGGAAAATTTTTAACCACCAAAAGGTAAGCTTTCCCACAGGATTGGCCATTAAATTCTTACCCCATCGCCTATCGTAAACAAATGAATTATTAGGTTGTTCCGCAGACTTCGTTTCACCAGTAGGGCATATATATCGACAATTGCCAGTGACAGGCTCCAGAAGCATTGCAAGCCAACAGCAAGAACTAGATAGCTGATGTCAAAAAGCAAGGAAGATAAATGTCGTACACAGTAAAAAAAAAGGATGAATCAGGAGTACAGAATCTGAATCTTGAGTCTCAGTTAAATGCTCACCAAATGCACTAGATAGATCTACGTCCATACCAACAGATAAATTGGCATTTCTAAGTAATTTAGGAATCAGAATTGCCTATTACATTAAGTTGGAGAAGGTTCAGTTGTAGAAGGATCATCGGCCACAATTGTTTACTAGGTTTAACCATGCAAAGATGAACCATACTCATCACTTGGGATCTTTGTGAACTGAACAATTTCGTTTTGTTTCTTTTTATATGGTCATTTATTCTTAAAGTGAACATACCATGCAGTGAGGAATAAGTACATTCACAAATTCAAATTCTCAAGGAAATTTCTCCCAAAATTTGAACGGAAATCACAGTTGATGTGAGAGAGAAAGATGTCTTCTTGTACTGATCCTCATTTTTAGTCTAAAGCAGAGCATCAGCAAAGTACACAGGGATCCAATAACTCAAGGAAATTTCTTCAAGCATGGAACAGGAAATACAGGCACCTGAAGAGAAACAAAGCAGCTAACTATTAACTTAACCTAGCAAACGATATGTAGAGTGAGACCAACATTAAGTTGTGACTCATATTCCAAAAAATCTACTGTCCACAAAAACCTCACTAAGAGGAAAGGGTGCTTCAGAGCATTTCTTGTGCTTTGACATTTCTTCTTAATCCATTATATAAAGAAAAAAATGTCCTAGTTGTAAGATCAGACAAAAACTTCCTAATGGCCCCGTGGATCTTGGCACATTGTTGAACCACATTAATTTTTATATTCTTTTTTTTTGTTATTTTTTTACTTTAAGGTGTGTTGCTTGAGTGTTTGCATTATAGTTGACCCAACCTACTGACTGAATCTTTTGTTGGAGCATTAATCCCATCCAAACTATTTACTTGCCATTTTTGCCAACGAGGCCTCATAAGCTGTCTTCATCACAAACTACAAATAAAATAATCCATGTATCCTCTACAAGAATGTGGTCAACATCAGATAAGACGAATTGGGTCAAGTAGAGATGGAATTCTTCCACTTATCGAGGAAAAACTTACTGCATCATGAGTCCACTTATCAGTACAAATAAGGCAAGAATCATGCTTAAATCACTCACTTTTCGGGACTATATAGTGAAATGCACATACTGCAAATAGAGACTCGGCTACCTACTTAACACACAAGTGCTGTGAAACAAACAAAAAGGGGCAATTTCTATATATCAAAACATGGAGAAGCACCTTGCAATAATTGATGACAAAGCTCAAAGAGGGCAATCTCTGTTCTACCTGCATAAACTGCATGTGGGTTACTATCAGAACCGAGCAAGCTCAGTAGATTTTGCACATACCTTCCTTCCTAATTCATCCATAAAACAACCATACGATAGAAACCCACATACATGAAGTTACCAACACATACCACTCTGAAAACCACAAAAACCTGTCTTATCGTTATTATTACTATTATTTGGCTAAAGAGTATTTGTCTTATCATTATGTTTATAAGATTGTTATTGCCAAGAACAAACAAAATTTCCAAACTATACTCGACTGTTTCTTAAATTTACATTTCCCAATCACTTACTGAACATAACTATATATCGAAAAAATCAATCCAAAATTTAAATTGTCATTGCATAAAGACATCGCAAGAAGATGATCAGAAGGAATACCAATTGGACGCAAAGAACACAATCAAAACAAGCACTTAATTTCGCTTTACAACTACCTTTCAAGCAGTAAAATGGCCCAAAAGTTATAAAAAGAAAAAATTCAAATGCATGAAAGTAAAGAAAAGAGTTGATCGTACCAAAACGCGGTGGCAGAACGGAAATCGCTAGTGGTGGCCATAACGGAGATGGAAAGGACGGAAAAAAGGAGCTGAAAGAGGCGGAGAATGAGGCCACCTGTGGTGCCAGGCATGCCCTGCAAGTCCTTCATCCTGACTCCGGGCCCGTTAGCGGCAGCGTCAGTGGCTGGTGGAGCCTCCAGAGGATGCACCGAAGGCCGGCTTATGTTCATTGATGTGGAGGGGGAAAGTCTGTTACCGATAACCAAGCTCAAAATCTCTGATCACTGGCTTTGATACAAGTATCTGATTCACCAGTTTGGTTGGTTTTGTATGAAGAACTTGGAAGAGGAAAGTGAAACTGGTCCTTTTTTTCTAATTTTGTTTTTGATTTTGTGAGAAAACGAGTACAAGATGACGGGTTCGATCCCAAGAAATGATTGCTTATAGATAATAATTTTTTTACAAAAAAAATAAATTACAGTTAATTATTATCGGTAAATAAAGATTTTCAGTTGAATTTAGAAATGAAAAATGGGGTCAATATTTACTAATTAACGAGTTATAAAATAGATATAAATAAAAAAATTATGAACTAAATGATACTTGTCCCACCTGCAATGCTTCGCACATTGTATACATATGATTTATAAAAAATTTATTATTAATTTTAGTTAATTAATAAATACTTAATGTTGCACATGTACAATATTATTTATTTTTATTATTATATACTATGTATTTTAATTATTTATAAATTTTGTTTAAAAGTAAAGAAACAGATAAAAATAGAAAGTATTATCTATGATTTTATAATTTCTTTCCTGCCTGGGTATGATTTTATATGTTGACAACTCCTTGCGTGACATTTCTCATTTTCTTTATATAATAATAATAATTTGTTTTGGATATTAAAATAATAAAAAATTATTAATCTAATTGTTTAAGTATTAAATATTTTTTAAAAAATATTTTTAAAATGTTAATAATTTATTTTAATTTAATTATTATATTAATGTGTTTAATAAAATTACTAATTCTAAGTTATCATTATTTAAATAAATACTATATTTTAAAAAAAACTTTAAATTAATAAATAGATTAATAAAATATAAATTTATTAATTAACTCAAAAGTTTAAATTATATTCATTCTACTTTCTTTTAAGCAAAAGCAGAAACGGGAATTAAGTCAACTAGAAGTTAAAGGAGCAAGGCTTTTTTTTTTTTTTTTTCCCTCAAGACAGATTGACAAGAGTTCTATATATATATATATAAAGTTAATATATTATAACTTAAATTCTTAGAGCAATTAGGTCAATAAATGCCTTTTGTACAAAATTTATAAGATAATAAAAGGTCTCCTTTGATTATGATAAGTTTTTTTAGTTTTTTTTTTTATTATAGGATTTAATTATCAAAATTTTTATTTTTTATTTAAATATTATAAGTTTAAAATTCACTAAAAATATAAAATTTTCTATTTTATAAATATATTATAAATAGTAATCGATTTATAATATTTTATTTAATAATATTAAAAATTTATTTTATAAATATATTAATAAAATTTTAGTAATAAAATTATATTAAATTTTAGTAATTTTATTATATTTTTAGATAAAAATATTCTTAAACAGTTAAAATAAGGTATAGGTGATAGATAATTGACACTTATCTTAGTTATATTTTGTCAATATGTAATGTTGATTTTATTCGGCACTCTGTATTATGTAATTTACCATTTGTCTGTATTTATAATTTGTTCGTTCGTATATGATCCTCCTAATCCAGAGAGATTAATATTATATTGAGTATTTTTCGTTATCAAAAAAGAAATATTACCATATACTCATTCCGCTTAATATATATATATACACACACACACCAAACACAATGAAAGAAAGATACTGAAAAAAAAAACTCAAGCAATCTAACAGAGGGAAAATGAAGAATAAAAATGTGCCTCAATATATAAAATCTCCATTCATCTATCCCTGCAGAAAACAAATTATATATACATATGCAATTTACTTTTTTTCTTCTGCAAAAAGTTTATTCAAGTATGTTTTATGCATACCTGCTCAATTCATGCCTTTTGACCGTTCATATGGTGGGTTGTGCTTTGCTTATCCAAAGGTCAGATTGGTTTATAATATTTATATCCTCATATGTGCTCTGACCATCATCATCGAATCCTATATATAATTTGATCTTGATATCCATTATGTTTTTTCTAATGTCCTCAAACGGGTACCCTACATTTTCAGCTATCATATTATACTTGCAATCCTATCCATTTCAGAACAAAAAGTAGAATTAAATGGTAAACTATATCATATAGCATTAACTCATGACCATTTCCAAGCTACTGGTAGAGTTTCAGAGAAATTCACATAGCAGAAAACCCAACTACACAATCTCAAATTGGACCAACATGTTTTTCATTCCCATCTCTGTACGTCAACACCAGAGTAAAGATGAGTGACGAATCATCCAATGACCAATGCAAAACACAAACCAACCTCATAAACCAAACAAAAGTTAACATATAACATCACCAATTCATATGACATACTTGAAAAGGATTTATTTAGAATGGCTTTCTTCCTTCACAGATCACCCCCCCGAAGACGAAGAACCAGGTGGAGGGTCGACTCTTTCTGAATGTTGTAGTCAGCAAGTGTTCGCCCATCTTCCAACTGCTTCCCTGCAAAGATCAACCGTTGCTGGTCTGGTGGGATACCTTCCTTATCCTGAATCTTAGCCTTCACATTGTCTATGGTGTCAGAGCTCTCCACCTCGAGGGTAATGGTCTTGCCTGTCAAGGTCTTCACAAAAATCTGCATCCCTCCGCGAAGGCGGAGCACGAGGTGAAGGGTGGATTCTTTCTGGATGTTATAATCCGCCAGGGTCCTGCCATCCTCCAGCTGCTTACCTGCAAAGATCAAACGTTGTTGGTCTGGTGGGATCCCTTCCTTATCCTGGATCTTCGCCTTCACATTGTCAATGGTATCAGAGCTCTCTACCTCCAGAGTGATGGTCTTTCCAGTTAGGGTCTTCACAAAAATCTGCATGCCACCCCTCAGGCGAAGAACTAAGTGGAGGGTTGACTCTTTCTGTATGTTATAGTCAGCTAAGGTGCGACCATCCTCAAGCTGTTTCCCGGCAAAAATGAGCCTCTGTTGATCAGGAGGGATGCCTTCCTTATCCTGGATTTTCGTCTTTACATTGTCTATTGTGTCAGAACTCTCAACCTCCAGAGTGATGGTCTTACCAGTGAGGGTCTTGACAAAGATCTGCATACCACCTCTGAGGCGAAGGACAAGGTGGAGGGTGGACTCTTTCTGTATGTTGTAATCAGCAAGGGTGCGACCATCCTCGAGCTGCTTGCCGGCGAATATAAGCCTCTGCTGGTCAGGAGGGATGCCTTCTTTGTCCTGAATCTTCGCCTTGACGTTATCAATGGTGTCAGAGCTCTCAACCTCAAGAGTGATGGTCTTGCCGGTGAGGGTCTTGACAAAGATCTGCATACCACCTCTGAGGCGAAGGACAAGGTGGAGGGTGGACTCTTTCTGTATGTTGTAATCAGCAAGGGTACGACCATCCTCGAGCTGCTTGCCGGCGAAGATAAGCCTCTGCTGGTCAGGAGGGATGCCTTCTTTGTCCTGAATCTTCGCCTTGACGTTATCAACGGTGTCAGAGCTCTCAACCTCAAGAGTGATGGTCTTGCCGGTGAGAGTTTTTACAAAGATCTGCATGCCACCCCTCAATCGAAGAACCAGATGGAGAGTGGATTCCTTCTGAATATTGTAGTCAGCAAGGGTGCGTCCGTCCTCCAGCTGCTTGCCCGCGAAGATCAGACGCTGTTGGTCAGGAGGTATCCCTTCCTTATCTTGGATCTTTGCTTTCACGTTGTCAATAGTGTCTGAACTCTCGACCTCCAGAGTTATGGTCTTGCCGGTGAGAGTTTTCACGAAGATTTGCATCTGAAACGTTTCAACAAATGTATTATGGTCCAACAAATTAGGAACCCGAATCAAGATAGCTGGGAATAAAAAGTTGCACATGAAACAGGTCTGACGAAATCGTTAGAATACAAAAGTAAATCAAACGTCGATAAATCTGTCCAAAATTAAAATCGCGAGACACATAATTCTCAAGAATAAATCGCAGACAGAATCAGATCAGTAAAAACAACGAACTAATAGTCGTTCTTTAACATGAAACCTAAAATTTTTCAGCAAAAAAATAATAATTCAAAGATTATCACCAAAATCAATCGTGAAACTTGATCGAGAAACTTGATCGTCACAAAAGAAAAGGGACAATCAAACAAGAAAAAAAAAACATGAATAAGGTGTTAACCGACAAAAAGTGACACATGAAACAAGTCAGACACAATCATCAAAAATACAAAAGCAAATCAAACCTCGACAAATCCAAATTAAAATCGCGAGAGATGTCATTCTAAAGAATAAATCGCAGATAGTATCAGATCAGGAAACACAACAAACTAACAATCTGAGACATAATTCTCGAGAGTAAACCGCAGACAGTATCAGATCAGGGAAAACAACAAACTAATAATCTCAGACATAATTCTCAAGAATAAAGCGCAGACAGTATCAGATCAGGGAAAACAACATCTTAACATGAAACTTAAAATTTCTTTGATAAAAAAATAATAATTCAAAGATCATCACCAAAATCAATCATGAAACTTGATCGAGAAACTTAATCGGCACAAGAGAAACGTGACAATCAAACGAAGAAAAACAGAAAGAAAAATTTATTAAAAATGAATAAAGTGTTCACCGATATAGAAGAAATCTTACCTTGAAATGCTAGAGAGGGAGATTCTTTGCTTCTTCAACGAAAGGAGAAAAACCAGAGTAATGAGAAGAGAGGCGCAAGGAGGCTGTTTATATAGGCAAAATGCCGACTTTATCAGCCCTGCGTATATCTCACCTCCTTCCTAGAAGATAACCCCAACAATAACGCAATCCTCGCATCACCGTCCATTTAGAGGACGGCCTCATCTAAAAGTTAGATATTAGGTGAGTGATGACAAATCTGGGCCCCTCATTTGTTTTTAATGACATAGTGATTAGGTTAGCCTGTTGCTTTAATTTTTTTAATTTATTTTAATTAGATTAAAAATGAAAGTCTGAAAGGAAGTCGAAAAGACTAAAATGCACCTGGAGGAAGCTCTTAATTACTACGATGTAATTGGATGAGACCAGCTGATAATTTTGATTTTATTATACTAATTAATATTATTTCTGATTTTATGTAGGAAAAGAAAATCAAGTTCAAACTTCTATTATTAATTAATATTATTTCTCGAAGTTTTATTTGACTCGTCAACTTGTAATTGAATTGTGATTATTAATTTTAAATATTATCAATTTTTATAAAAATTGAAATACAATGTTTTAATTTGAAAAGGAAGACCAATTCTTTTCATATTCTAGTAAAAATTTATATTTTAAATTAAAAACAAATAAAGATTCGGAAATAAATTAGAGTAATTGAAAAATTAAGTATCAAATAAAAAAATTAAAGGGCAGGGATCATTTTTCCAATTATATTTTTTGAAAATTTATTAGTTTTGTTTTGAAAACAAAGCGCAAAAGTTTAGTTGTTTTTCATTATTCAAAAAATTATTACTAATAAGGATGATAAAAAAATTTGTAACTTGCCAAAATTATTTGTCACACCCAAAAACTCAATAATGAGGCGCAATTCCTAATCATATAATTTTTTATATAATGAACCTACAAAATATGCATATGCATAATTCAAAATTTTAATATAAAACTAACATCTTGTATGATATTTAGAACATGATGTCAAAATTTAAACTTTAACAAAATAAAACAAAAATTTGTAGAATATGAATAAAATATATATAAACTTCAATACTTTCACAAGTTCTACTCGTCCAGCAACGATTCTGCCTTTTCTTTATCATCTAAAAAATATCACGGTAAAATTTAATGAATTTCACCAATTTAATAAGTATTTTTGTTTTTCCAAACCCATATCAAAGCTCATGCAAAAACACACAATATGGGACAAATACAGTTGTAATGTTTTCAATGCAAAATTTGTTTGAAATTTTCACCATTTTCTAATGTTTATTAAACACAATTATTTCGGACATTCTAATTTCATATTTTTCCCATTGAATTCCTCAATTTACATTTGAATATCATTTGTAATCTCGAAGTATTACTACATACATTCGAAAGAAAATATATACACTCGAAAAATCATCTATAAAGTTTCATCGCACGATGTTGTTTATGTCGTCGTCGAGGAGAGGCAAAATGGATCCCCTCATCGCATCAATAACACACACCAAAATTTCACATTAACCACAATAGTTATGTTTGTGAAATAATCCACGCTCACAGACACTTATCCAAGTTGGACTAGATTTCAAACTCTATTTATGTATAGGCTTACCATATCCATTGAAGTTCAACCACACACACACACTTCCTTCCTCGATTAAGACTAAAAAAAAGCATACAGTCTATATACTATTCATTCACATCATCTCCTTTTCCAATTTCTTATTTACTTCATTTTTATTCTATTATTTTTAAATATTATTTTAGTTAATTTGTTTCTATTTTTATTTGGTTTCTTAAGTTATTTCTGTTTTTTCAATTTTTCATTTTAGTTGGGGTTCCTTTTCTCTTATAATTTGTTACTTATCACAATTTCAAATATTTATCAGTCCTTAATTTTTCGGTTTCCATCTTCTCATGATTTCCAACAAGTTAGGGTTTCCCTTGTCGTATGTCCCATAATCACATGAAATCAGGTTCAATATTACAAGAGCAGGCAAATCAAGTGTCCCAAACTCATTCCTGGTAGTTCCCATTGCCGGAAGATGTCCAGGTTATGCTCTTTTATCAAGGAATCAAGTCAGTATGTGTTTTATATTAAAACACATACAAATTCAAGAACACACATGCATAGGCTTTTGAAATCCCAATCTAAGTTAGAATAAGGAAATACTTACCAAAGTCCCTCAACATATTGTACTCCACTTGATCAACGGCCTAGAATCACCATACATGAATACATTTAAATTTAATTAACGAAAATAAATTAAATCTAAAAGAAAATTACTAACAGTGGCTGTTTTGGGTAATTACCAACAATAATCTCATTCTTCGGTATTTGGCAAACCACCACTTCAGCTCCTTATGTAGAGGTGGACGATTTGGTTCCCAAAATCTATACGTATACTCATACCTACATACTAGCATCAGAATTCACCAAAACACAGCAACGAGGAAGGAAACAAAGGGTTACCGGATTCGGTTCGGTGCTGTGAAGGCCAAATAGCTTCACTTTTTCCTTATTTACAGTACCGGAGACGATTTCTGGTTTTTTCGAGAAGACCCCTCACTCACCGTGGCGAGGTGAGTGCTCTATTTCCCGAAACCTTTACACATACACACATGAATACCCATTTTGTCAAAAACGCACACTAAAAAAGAAAAAAGAACGCACCTAGTTCGGGTGCGGTGCTCTGAAAACTCGAACAGCCTCGTGTTCGACTCCTAACTTCTGAAGGATGGTCTCCTTGGTTCTCCGCGAGCACTCCTCGCTTGCTTTAAAGATTGGATGATTGATTTCACACTTACACGCCGGTTAGTGTGAAATAGAAAAAGGGAATCTTGAAAAAAGAAATGGAAAGGACGAAGCTTATCGATTTTTCTAACACCGACGTCGCGTATAGCTTGGCTTCGAATTTTCCCATCACACTGTTTCTCGGGCGCGACTCCCTTCCCTTCAGCTTTTCGCCTCCGCGATACCTCCTCCTTTCCTCTTCAACCGCGTTTCCTTCTCTCCTTCTAGTTTCCTTGCTCGTCTTTCCCTTACGCGCCGTTCCCTTCTCCTTCTCGACCCGACCCCTCCTCAATCTTGGCCTCCTCTCTCATCCAATCGGCTCCTTTCATCCTCTCTCATTTCAGCTCTTCTTTTCTGAATGAAAGAGGAAACCCTAATTGTTTTTTTAAATACCCATTTCTTTAGCCATCTGATCTTGCCAGATTCAATCTGGGTTGTTTAAATAAAATAAAATTCCAGCCATTGGATCCCTCCAATGGTTCGATCAGGACTGTCCATCTGATTTCTTTTTGCCCCCTTCTATTCTCATTTAATTATGTTTTTGCCCCCTTTTTTACATATATTTTCATTTAGGTCCTTAAAATTTATAAAAATCGCCTAATTATTATAATTTCTTTCATTTAAACCCTAAATCCTAATTTAATTTATTTATTTACAAATTTTTTTATTTTGGGATCCAAATATTACATTATTCATCGTATTAAAGACTATTACGATTTTATATTGACTCGAATTAAATTAGATAAGATTAAATCATATTCATATTTCTATCACAAAATCAGATTTACTGGTTGAGATTCTATATACTAGCGTCTAAGAATTATAATGCTAATTGGCAAAACAAGTACTTAATAATCGAATAAATTTTTATTATTCTCAATTTCACCATGGAGCATTTGTAGTCCAACAGCTAGGATAATAATATAAATATACCAAAATTTTTAGATGAACTAAATCAATTCTTTATGTAATTCATTTTCAAATAAATTCCATACGATTGGAAAAATAATCTAAATATAGGTTTAGCAATGAACTCCACAAATTCATTCTAAACACACACAAAGTTTATTCCAAAAAAGTATATCAATGAACCATTAAGAAGGATAAAAGAGAAATGAGCAACATGAATAGGTATTATGAGGCTTTATGTGCATATATTTTTACATGTGTAGTATATGTATGTATATGTACATATACCCAACATTTATAGGTATAACTTCTAAAAAATAGGTATCTAAATAGAAGTTAATACAGAAGTAAATATATAAATATACGTCAGTGTAGGTATTATATATATATGAGGTCAATATATGTATGTACACAAGCATAAATACACAAATATCACTACAAGAAAAATAAAAGTTAATAACATAAATTTTTACCAACAGATATCAGCTTGTCAATAAAAGTACACCTAATGCATCAGTATAGGTTCCAAGAACATTTTAATATTAGACTTAAAAAAGAGACCCATGAACCCGCAAAAAAAAAACCCTTTCCAATAATAAGCCAACACATTTATACTTCAAGGTAAAAAAAGAATGAAAAATAAAGGCTCACGATATCCTTAATCCGTTTATAGCCCAAAAGAAGAATATGTAAAAAAACTGTTAAGTTTTTCTCAATTAACATCTGAATAGGTTATTTCTCATAGCAAGGATCTTCATTCCATGAAAGAAATTAAGATATCTGAGAGCACAACCATGAGTTCCATATCTAACCCATTTGTTTACACTGTTACTCTAACCTTATTTGCCTAGTAATTGAGTGTACTGCTAGATTACTACCAGACAAGAATTTGGATTGAGTGTTTGAATTACAAGAGGAAATAAGTAAGAAGGACAATTATCTACCTTTTATTAGTGTGTACTTAGGCTCCAAAAAGAGATTCATTTTTGTTGCCAAAAGTTTGTATGCTTTCAAAACATTCTCATTATTTGGTTTTAAGCAAACCTTGTTCTTCTTGTAGTCTATTTTATCTTATACCCTCTCAGTCTAGGAGGTAAACATTTTATTTCTTATACTATTTACTAATTTTTATTTTTTATTTCTAATTTTTTCTATGAATTTCAAGGTTTTTGTGGGATAATAGTTTTCATCATTAACTCAATTTTAGTTGTTAATTAGCTTGTTATTCTAAAGTGAAAGAAATTAATCAATTCGACTTATGATATTAAAACTTTTAATCTTGATTTGCTTTATGTTGTCTAATGAAATTTGAATAAATGAATGATCATTTTTTTATATTTTCCAAGAAAACTTGAGAGAGTTAACTAAGAGCTGTGACGACTTATTTTGAAGTTTTCTTCTCCTAATTGAATTGGTGTTTGAGAGTTCTCAAGCTTAATTATGATTCCTCTGTAAACCTATTTTTTTCTTCTTTTCTCTTTAAGATCTAGGCATTGGTGTGTGTTGTTGATTCATTTATGTTAGAAAATTAGGACTAACCTTAATGCGGAAGCAATAAGATAAAATACTTACTTTTTTGCCCATAGAGAACAATTATTGATGTCTTTTGTTTTATCCCGGATACTACTAAAGTTATGGATAATCTTTACATCCCAAAAGCCAAGTCTGCTTATGGTTTAATTTAATGTGAGAGAAAAAATAATAATATATTTTTTTCTAAATGTTATACGCTTTCTTCAGTGAACATAAACAATTTTTTTTCTCGCTTATATACTCACCAAGAGTCATATATTTTTTATACACTTATGAAGGGTCTTGTCTTTTTACAATGGGTGTTGTGAATGTTTCTAATTTTATACAATATTTCCTACTTGGTCATACAAGCCACACTAACCACAATATACTACCACATCAACATATCTCTCATGCTTCATATGGGATATAGGGTATGTGACCAAAAGGCAACAACTAGTGTTATATTAAGTCACCATATAACTAATATAACATTTTCATATTTATAATACCCCATATTATTTGAACATCACTATTAGCATACATTACCCCTCTATGCTATAATTATATTACTTGGTTATATAAAAAATATAACTGTTTGGGCTTATGTGATAATGTTAAAAAGATTCTTCCTTAGACACTCATAACAATCCACCTCAACTTGATTGCTTTCTTAATATACTCTGCTAGACCGTGTAGGTCTTGGCCCTTGGAAATATATTAAAGTAGCAATATCAAATCTTGACTTCACGTGATAGCTCCAAGTCGAAGGGTATTATACAAGAAGGACACAAGAGTCCATAAGTTTCACACAATGATAAAGTAGGGAATTATTTTGTCACTCCCTATATCTGTCGTCATATAACACATACAATATGATATGTATGTCACAATATAGCTTCCACTAAGTTGTGCATGTCACTATTCTATATCATGCGAATCATAAATCCAAATACTACTCAAGTATCTAACTTGAGCAACTTGATTAACATACTCAATGTGTGACCTGACACTCGATATTCGGCTTTAAGGCTTCAGTATGAAATCAGGTATATTTCATACTCGACTCTTTAGAGTCTCATTTTAGACATACTAAGGCGACTATAAAATTTTGATATTTTGTCATTAATACAACACAGGTATAAAGACGGTCCATATTGCACATACTTAATGCCAATATGATTTAGTCTTATCCTACCCACTACTAAAGTGTTTAGGAGATCACCTGTGTGATAAGGTCGATCATAAAGCATGGTGACATTATTACGTGCCTAATCATGTAATTATGTTCATGAATATTTCATAAGAAAATAATAACTTTTATTTCATGAATGATCAATACACAAAAATATATATCTATTGTGTATCAAATCCCACTCGAAAATTAAAGCCTACGTAAATATAGACTCTTCACATGACCCCGAAAAGCATCGCTAGATATATGCTTAGTCAAAGGATCAACAACCATTTTGCTAGTGGATATATACTTAATAACAACTTTCCCTTTTTTGATGGCACCTCGAACAAAATGATAACACCTCTTAATATGCTTGGTTTTCCTATGGAATTTCTTGTCTCGAGCATATTGGATAGTAGCAGTATTGTCACAATGCAATTCTACAAGTTCATAAACTTTAGGGGTGATGTTGACATCCTACAGAAAGCTTCTCAACCAAATTGCCTATTGTACAGTAAGACAACTAGCAACATACTCTGCTTCCATTGTAAATAAAGCATTGCAGTCTTCCTTTTTACTACACCAAGATATGGTGGCTCTACCAAGGACAAAAACATATCTTGAGGTCGACTTAGACTCATCCCAGTCGCCACCCCAGTCTGCATCTGAATATCCTTTCAACCTTAAATCCCCTCCTTGATAACAGAGGACTAGGTCACTTGTACACGACAGTAGCACAAGATTCTATTGACTGCTTGCTAATGAGCAGTCGAGGGTTGCTTTGAAAACAACTTACCAAACCAACTGCAAAACAAATGCCCGGCCGTCTATACTACATGACATACATCAAATTGCCTATTATACTAGCATAAGGAATGTGCTCATTTTTTTTCTCTTCATCTGTCTTTGGGTACTGATCAATACTAAGGTTAGAGCTTTCTAAATAGGAGTGTCAACGGGTTTGGAGTAATGCATTCGAAATCTTCTAAGACTTTCTTAATATATGCTTCTTGGCACAGTCCTAGAAGCTTCTTGGGATGGTTTCTCATTATTTCCACGCCAAGGGCAAACCTGGTTTCACCCATGTCCTTCATTTCAAAAACAGAGGATAACCACTATTTAGTGGCATTGATCATCTGCATGTTATTTTCAGCTAATAGTATGTTATCAACATATAAGGAGAGAAACATAATCCCTACCGTTGTTTTTTTGACATACACACAATGATCTTCATCTACCATGGACAAGCCAAAACGAAGTAATGATTTCTTGGAATCTGAAACACCATCGTCTGGAAGACTGTTTGAGACCATATATAGATCTTTTAAGATGACAAACTTTATTTTCTTGACCTTTTGAGACAAATCCAATAGGTTGATCCATATATATTTCTTCATCAAGTGTACCATTGAGGAAAGCAATTTTAACATCCATTTGAAATAACTCTAAATTCAAATGGGCAACTAGGGTTAGAAAGAAGCGAATAAAGGTAAATCTCACCGCATGAGAAAAAGTCTTTTCATAGTCTATACCCTCAATTTGGTTAAAATCTTTTGCTACTAGTCGGTCTTTAAAATTTTTAATTGATCCATCTGCTCCATGTCTTATCTTGAAAACCCACTTGTTTCCAATTGAATTACGTCGAGGTGGGAGATCAACTAGTTCCCAAACCTTATTTCTCATCATTGAGTCCATCTCATCTCTCATGGCATCAATCCACTATTTGCTATTTGGTGAATTCACAGTCTCATT